CAGTGCATGTCCTGACACTTTAAATCATCTAGCTCCTTGTTCTCAGGCTTAACTTCACACATGGGCTTTCCATTGGCCGAGGTGAGAGTTAGAATAGTTTTCAGCTGCCATTTAACAAAAACCATGCTGAGCAGCACCAAAGTAGCCCACAGATGGCATTAGGGGAGAACACAGGAGGGAGAGCTGACTGTCTCGACCGTAAGTTTTAATGCTTGTTTTTGTATTTATATGTTTATTATAACTTGAATTGTTTTTTGTGTATAATATCAAGTAAGGATCCAACTTCACTTTTTCTTTCTTTGTTTTTAAAGATTTATTTATTTATGCATATGAGAGCTGGGGTACAATTCAGAGATGCGTGTGTGTGTGTGTGTGTGTGTGTGTGTGTGTGTGTGAGAGAGAGAGAGAGAGAGAGAGAGAGGATTCACCAGAGACAGAGTGAGGAACAGAACAGGTCCCTGGCTGGGGATAAAACTCGTGCTGCAGTAGCTGCAGATTGCTTCATAGTGCTGAAGCTTAACCCCTTGCACCACCAGGGAGGCCCCCAATTTCACTTTTTCTAACGTGGAATTTGCCCTAGCACCCTTTATTGCATTGTCAACCTGTTCCCCACTGGTTTGCAATACCATCTGCAGGGGCAGGACTGGACCACAGTGCAGGTTTTCTGATCCCATGCAGACCGGGTAAAGGAGGAGTCACAGTCCTCAGTGGTTTTTTTGCAGGTCTTTTATTGGGGTTCGGCAGGCAGGGGTGCTGGGGGGCCGGGAGGCTGGCAGTCCTCCCAGCAAATCTTCACTCTATCTGGGCTCTCTGGTAATCTCTGCTCCTGCTTCTTTGCTTCTCTCTCGGCTTCTCTTTCGGCTTCTACTTGACTTCTGCTGCTGCTAGCGTCCCCGTGATGCCGCCCTTAAAAGCCCAGTCTCAGCCCAGGTGAATCCCATCTACCTATGCCCACGCCCTACTCCAGGTGCCCGCCATCAGACATGCGTTCAGGACCGCAAGGATCCATCATCTATCCTGAGGGCAGGAGGGCAGAAAAGCCTGACATTTTTCCTTACCCTACACCATCTTAGTTGGATCACACTTTATGTGTGCAGATCTGTATTGTGTTCTATTGTTTGTTTTTTTAATCAGTGTATTACTTTAGATTAATACATTCCTGCCAACCTCCTAAACTAATTTGGCTTTAAATCTTGTTATTTTGATAGTCAATGTTCACTCCTTTAATCATTCATTTTTTGAAAATTTTTTCCTGCTTTTTTGATGTTCTATTAGATATTTCAAATTAGCCTATAATTTGCCAGGAAAAAATTTTGTTAGGATTTTTATTGAATTGGAATTGCATAAATGTACCACTAGTTTGGGAAGTATCTCTAAATATTATCTGTCTATAGCATGGTATATGTATTCATTATTAATTGCTTCTTTAATACTTTTTGAAAAGTTTTATCTTTTTTCCATAAAATTGCCACATATTATTATGCCATTCATCACTGTTATTTTCTTAGAAGATTTACTCTTCAAACTAGCAAATTTGCCAACACTCTCGATTTTGAAGAGGTTTTTTTTCATTACCAGCTGTGATAAGTATGGCGGGTTTTCGTAGATATGTTTTTATCAGGTTAAGTAAGCTCCTTTCTAGGCTTAATTTTTGCTATTAATTGGTGGTTAAATTTTACTGAGCGCTTTTCATCTGTTGATATGGTTGTGATGGTTTTCTTCTTCAAACTTACTATGGAAAATTACACTGATTTTATATATTAAGTCATTCTACATTACTAATATTTTGCTTCATTATGATTGTTATGATTTTATATATTTAAATATGGCTTGACAACTTATTATTTAGAATGTTTGTATTATTTTGTGAGAGAGGTTAATTTTCCATTCTTATACATTTCATGTTAAGATTTTGCCATTCTCATAAAATAGTTCAGTGAAGTTTTGCTTATTTTTCTTTTTTCTGGAAATGTTTGTAAAAGTATTTGCACATTTGGTATAAATCACTAGTAAGCCTAAAGTGTTGGTGATTTTCTGTGAAGATTTTGGTTAGAATTTTAACTATTAATTCAATTTCTTGTTTCAGGTATATTCAGATTTTTAATTTCTTATTAATTCCTGTTTGATAAATAATTTTATAAGAAAGTTAAAATTACCCTGATTTCTCAAATTTATTTGCTCAGGATATTAAAAATATACTTTTTACCTTCCAGTTGTGATTATTCTCTGACCTATTTTAATTCCCAGTATTTTTATATTTATGCTTCTCTTTTTTCCCTATGATTAAAAGTATTTTAGATGTATTCCAGTATAGAACAAATAAGTAGATGGGTTTTTGGAAGCCAGGTTTCTCACAGTGGAAAAATCACACACACACACACACACACACACACACACACACACACACGTGTCCATATAGACATGTACCTATATTGCTTCTCCTTCTCTTATTTTGCCTTCATTAGATTTTTTTTCTCTCTTTGAAAATTTTATAATTACTTTGTTTTTTAAATAAATTTGGATATGTTTGCACAATTTTTAAACGTCTTGTATTAATAACTCCATATGAGCACTTTAGAATACTTAACTCTAATCTCCAGCCTCTCATCCTAGTAGTGTTATTGCTAGCAAACATTTTATTTCTGTCCTATTTCTTACTGTCCCCTCCTACTCATCAAGACTCATATATCTAGGTTTATGAAATCTTCAAATATCCAATGATTTGTTATTTGCAACCAAATGAACTTTAATGGGATGGAAGTGCACCTGTTCTTACTTCACAACTGGGTGTCTCTGCTAAGAACCCACTCCCTTAGCACTACGTAAAAATTAGAAATTGATACCACTTTTATTATTTAGCACAGAGAATTTTTCCCTAGAATGAAATTATACCCATAGGAAGAAGAATGCCTGCTTAGTGGTTTACCTGTGCAGGAAGAGATTGAGAATAACAACTATATGTCTGAAAAGTGTTCCTCTTGTTCTAAATTTCAGGAAATTATCTTTTTAGAATTTTAGCTCTATCAAAGAGAGATAATGGGCTAAACCAAGGCATTTATTGAGTACTTGCTGTGAAGGACCTTATCTATTTTCTCTGGAACTCAAAACTGGGATCTGCTTCTAGTGAAACCAGATCTCACTGGGAAGGAGTGGAGAGAAGATAATGCCTAAAATGGGGGCCTCCAGGATTTGAGCAGCCATAAGACAAGGTTCTAACCACTGGAGATAAACCCTGTATACAGGGTAAAAATGGGTTGAGTATCTAATGATTAATAATGGCCTCCCTTTGCTTTGATGTCCAAATCTTAGAGTAATTTGTGTCACTCTTAGCATTATAGGTTCCATTTTGGGTATGAGTCAAGGCATTGAAGAACTGTCAATGTCCCATTGTTAAGGTTGGTTTGAGAGAACAGGAGATCAGATATGAATAGGCAGGATTCAGAATTAATAGGTTCCAGAAGAGAGTAGGGGGCATAACTTGGACCAGGGAAGCAATTCTAGGTCCCAGGATTCTAATATGGTACATAAATGCCAGACTAAGAGGGTTTGTTCATGCTCACAAATATTAGAAGTAAATGGGAAGCCAAAGTCCAAAATCAAATTGGCTGTCAGTTGTCTTTTTTTTTTTTGTACCACCTACTGTGTATCAATTCACATACCTTATCTTTAATGTTCTTTAATTCATATACCTTATCTTTAATGTTCTCAGGAATCCTGGAAATTTTGACTTATTTCAATCCCTATTTAACATTATAAACTGAGATGAAAGGTGTTAAAACACTTGATCATTTTACATTTATCAATCAGTGGAGCTAGGATTTAAGTACTAATTTATTTCACTCTGGAATCTGTGCTTTTTCTACTACACTCTGTTATCTCTCATTGAAATGAACTCCTATTTGTTTCAAATAACTCTTGTAAGCTCAACCACAGGTTAGACGGAAACATACACATTTTTCATTCCTTAAAATTTATCTTGGGTGGATGTTTTTGTTCTGCACTCACTTCACATTATTTCTCAAGACATTTTCATTAATCAAAAATTTACAGGGAACTAATAGGTATTAACATAGCCAGGTTTTCAAAAAATAGGATATCTTATTTATTATTAAAAAATAGCTGAGAACCAGTATGTGGAAAGATTGACTACTGTTTGCAATTAAAAAAAAAAAGTTTATAGTACATGTGATAGATGGGTACTTCCCAAAGAATGTCCTAAGAATAGAAGGTTTGGAATTTTTATTTGGGAAAACTTATAAGATCTGTGGTCTTATTTAACGGAAACAAAAACTGGAAGATTGTTAAAGGTTTTATGTGGATTTGCACTATTTGCCAGTTCATAAGATTGTCACTGCAGCCGATTAATTTTGCATCTCCTGTCTTCATTGCTAGTGTTGCCATGGTGATGTTATGACATCAAGCTTTGCTCAGAGGGTTGCTGCTTCTTACCTGCAGACTTTGGCACAAGCTGGCTAGGAAGAATATCTGGATGAACTAGGGAAGATTTTTATATATGTTAAAGTCAGGGTAAGGGTAGACAGTTGTCTGTTAAGCTCTTGCTCTATGACTTTCTTAATACCAATATCTATTTTGATGTTCATTGTAATATTCTGAACATAAGTGAAGAACACCAAGCTGTATATTTACATTTACATAAATTTAGGTTTCAGTATATTTTCTTTCACAATCTGAAAAATGTATAACCTCTTATTCCTACTGAGCAGGAGAATTGGAAGCTTTGCAAAGTGGAAAGAATATTGATCTTGGAAAATAGAAACTAGAAACTAAATGGAAAATAGAAACTAAAGTTCAAAATTGCTTTTTTACTATGTGATACTGAATTTAATTCCTCTGAATTTTGTTTCACTTATTGATAAAGTGTGAATATTGCACTTGTTGAGAAGATAAAGATCATTTTCCAGGTATAAAGTATGAGCATAGATGAATTTTCTGGTAACACAGCAGCACACTGTTTTACCTTTGGGGAAACTATTCTTCACAGTTTCAATCCAGGACTTTCTGATGAGTCTGTCAATTTCCTCAGAACATTGACTGAAATGGTGACTGAGAACTGGCTAATCAGAATTCTGCCTCCTATTGGTCATAGTGAAGGTTCACTATGAACTGTGACATGAGCCAGGCCATTGAGAACCCACTTGAAACTTGTGCTGGATACATTGAGGGCTAGCCTCTCTTTCAGGTATAGTCTCTTAGCTGGTAGAATAGAAGCCTAAGTAGATAAGACATCTTTGTCACCAGTTGGGCATGGTCAGCCTCGATTCAAAAATGAAGTTGACACAGGGAAACTGAGTTGAGAGAGGTGACACTTGAACACTTGAACCCAAAACATCTGCTCCTTAACTTTTCTAAAGTTATGTGCTTAAGCTAATTTGAGTTGGGTTTATATTGCTTGAAATTGGAAAATGCTGAATATCAGGATGATAAATTTTCTTGTACATGTGAACAAGTTATATTTTATTAAAAATTTTTCTAATTAGCTAGACATATGCTCATAACTAGAATAATAAAAAATTAGCTATTTGTGACTTTGATGTTTCATATCCTTTAGATGTTTCTCAGTTGAAATCTTTGCCATTTTAATATTTCTATTGCTGAAAAACAAATTGGGTCAGCTATTTGGTAAATATAATTGACTGTTTAAGATAGACACTATTCAAATAATTAGGCAAGGAAGCCATTATGCAGAGGTGATTCTAATGCTGTGATGGACAGCATAAGCAAACCAAAATCTAAGCCTGTAAATGCCTCAGGGTTGTGAAATCAAAACACTATTTACAGTCATTCAAAAACACCACCTAGGCTTTGCAGCTATAGATGATCAATAATTTCCTTCCTTTGCTTTCTCCTTGTCTCTGCAAAAATCCCTCTCCAAGCTCCTATTAGTGGAGCTTCTAAACACTGCCTGACAAATTTTTGCTCAAATAAACTTAATATTTTAATATGCCTCAATTTATCATTAAGCAGTTATTTTTTTTTTGTCTTGCTTGTATTCATTTTTTTTTCTTTATTACTCCCTCCTCCCCTCCCTGTAGTGTGTCTCTGGTTTATAGTTGCTTGTTGATTTGATTTTTGGTTCCTATTTTTAATGAAAATTCAATAATTACAACAATAAAATATCAAAATCCAAAGTTTGTTAATTAAAGTTTTTCCTGAATAATATACTTTATAAAATATAACTTCTATTTAAACTCCCTAAAATATATGCTAGCATGGCATTTCAGTATTATATCTTCTGTTGAATTCTCCATTATCTATATTTAATCATTTCCCCCAACACCATTCTTTCTACTTGTTAGACCCTTCCTCCCTTCCTTTTTCTTGTTCATGTAGGGACCATGAATGAGAAGACCAAGATTAGAGTCTGCAGATGTTAGGTTATAATTATGTGGAGAAAGGAGAGTATGTGAAGGCAAATGAAAGTCAAGGTGAAAGTGTTCAGAACAGGCCTCCCCAAGACCTGATGTCATTTTGCCATGTGGATTATTTTGAATTGAGGTCAGTCAAAGTCTCACAGGCTCATGAGAAACTGATACCACTCCCCTAACTACCTAAAAGAATGAAAATTGGAGATCTTACCTGGAATTAGCATTGTTACCAGAAATAACCTTTCTATCAGACAAGCCTATTTATATGATATAGATAACTTCTAATTACAGTGTATCTCTTCATCATGTAAATTCCCTGCCCCTCTTCTTGAAACCACAGGACCCCTATCCCATTCCTTAGCTCAGAATCTGTGCCTCATTATATCTTCCCTTCCCTGGACCCTTCATATCTATGTAGGCTCCCTTGTAGGTATGACATTAACTTTATTTATTTATTTATTTTTTACTAATATGTCTGATGTGAGGATATTATTTGACCAACCCAAGACAAACTAAAGGGTTATGGGGTGATTTCCCCTTATCTCCTACAAAGGCAAAGTATATTGTCTCATGGAGTCGAGAGAGAAAATAAAATATTCAGAATATGCTAAAGGTCTGAAAAAATGTTTATTTTCAGACAGGGTATGATTCCAAAATCTCTAGATGGCTATAGATGATGTTGGCACGGTATAATTCTGGCAAAAACTTGTGGATATTTTTGCCAAAAGGCAGTGTCCCTGGATGAAAGTAGATTGGCAAAACAGTAAGCCAGTGTAAAACAAAATCTTTTGAACTTTTTTTTTGATTGAATAATGCTTCCTGGACCTTTCAAACTTGCTCTGCTTTTGAGGTGATAAACTTGGTTCCTATTTTTTTCAATTTTTTAGTTTATATATTTTTGCATCATTTTTCATTTTTGCACAATGTATGCATTTTCATCTTGGTTATAGTCCCCATACAATTCCCTCCCGCCTTGTTTTGATCCTACTCCCTCCTCCCCTTCCTGTAGTGTGTCTCTGGTTTATAGTTGCTTGTTGATTTGATTTTTGGTTCCTATTTTCAATGAAAATTCAGTGATTACAACAATAAAATATCAAAATCTAAAGTTTGTTAATAAAAGTTTTTCCTGAATAATATACTTTATAAAATATAACTTCTATTTAAACTCCCCTGAAATATATGCTAGCATGGCATTTCAGTATTATATCTTATGTTGAACTCTTCGTTATCTATACTTAGTCATCCCCCCCCACCATTCTTTCTGCTTGTTAGACCCTTCCTCCCTTCCTTTTCCTTCTTAGCTTCTTTTATTTTGTCCACTAGTTTGTATAAATATTTAACTTCGTTGAATCTTCTGCTGTATCTCAATTATTTGTCTTTATCATTTCAGCTGGCTTTACTATACATAATACCCTACAGCTCCTCACATTTTTTGATAAATGGCAACATTTTGTGTTTTGTTGTGGCTGGAGCTTATTCCATTGCATAGATGGACCACATCTTCTTAATCCACTCCTCTCTCTGAGGGCACTTAGATTGTATCTGTGTCCCAGCTGTTGTGAACAGTGCTGCAATAAACATTGCAGAGCCTATAATTGCATGAGTCCAATAGTGGGATTGCTATTTCCAGTTTTATTTTATTAAGGTAAATCCGGATTGCTTTCCAAAATGACTGTGACAGTTTACAGTCCCACCTACAGTGTAATCCTCCTTTTTTTTCTCTGCATCTCTGTCAATTGAGAGTCCTTTTAATAGGTCCCATTTTCAAGGTTGTGAGTTATCTCATTGTGGTTTTGACCTGTATCTACCTTTTTAAAAGTGATGGTAAAATAAACATTCTTCCATGCAGCTATTTACCTTCCGGATATCCTCTTTGGTGAATTGTCTGTCCAGATCTACTGCCCATCTGTTAATTGGGATGTTCTTTTTCTGGTAGTGTTAACTTGAATAACTTTTTTGGTATATCTTGGATGTTACTCTCTTTTCAGTTGTGTAATGTGCAAATCTTTTTACTCATTCAGTAGATTGTCTTTTTTGTCTGTCTATCTATGTCAAATTTAATTTGAGATAATCCTAATTGTTTATTTTTGTTTTTATGCTCTTTGTCATAGGGGTCAAGTTTCCACAAACATGAAACATATCAATGTTGCCTCTGTATGTTTTATTGTTGCAGTACATATAGCTAATCCATTTGTATGTCTTTAATCAATTTAGAATTTAATTTTGAGTATGGAGTTACAGATTGACCCAAATTCATTACATATGGCCTTTCAGATTTATCAGAACAATTTTTCCAACAGACTCTCCTCTCCCCACTGTATGTGTCTCCTTTTTCATGAATTAAGTATTAATATATATGTGGATTTATAGCTGTATATTTAGTTCTGTGTTTATTGAGCCATGTGTCTATTCTTATTCTAATACATGTTGTTTTACTGTTTGTTTATAGTATAGTTAAATGTCAGATAATGCCATGTTCCATTTCTCTGCTTTTTCTCATGATTGCTGCTGCAATTTGTCTTTATCTGGTTTCAGTATTAAGGTAGCATTGATATCCTAGAATGAATTCAGGGACATCCCCTCTTCTTGGGCCTTGAGAAGTAATGTTAGTATGCTGGGCATAAGTTATTCTTTAAAAGTTTGATAGAATTCACTTGTAATGTTTCATTTAGTAAGTTTAGGGCATTTAGTGAGTCTAAGATCTTTTAGGAAGAGCCTTTAGTTATCATCTGGTCATGTGTGGCATCTAGATTTTGAGGGAGAGTCAAGAATATCCTAGAAGTTGTCAGCCAGAGAACAAGCCTCAGTGATGGTTAGCACCTGAACAAACTTCAGAGAATTTAGGTCTCTATAGAGCTGAGGGATGGGAATGATATTTCTGGAAGACCTAGACAGAGATATTGTCATGGGCTACAGGGACCCTAGTGTAAGATTGAGTGAGATGTCAGGAACAAAGAAAATGCGCAAGTGTTAGTGGGTAGACCGAGGGGTACCCCAGGCTCCCCAAACCTGCAGCTCTGAAAGGAAGAGGAACTCGGCAAAGCATTTCATGAGCTAAATTCCTACATTCGTGTGTGTAGGAACAATCTTTAGATAGAGGAACAATCTTTAGATAGAGAAATACCATTCTAATGATTGCCTTTTAGTGGTTTCTTATAAATACTCATTGTGTTCATTGGGGTCCTTTATTTTGGGTGTTGGGAAACAAATTATTTTAGGTCATATATGAGCTCTGAGAATTTTTGTCTTACAATTTTCTGCAATTGTTCTTTCCCTATGAGCTTCCCTTAGTCTCGCTTCATGACATCCCCCTATGTGTACACAGATGTTTTGTTTTTTTTTTTTTCCAGACTTACAGTAACTCCAAAATAAATTTCTTGAACTTTTTCTCTGCATAAATTCTCTCTCTCAGGTACTCTGCCCTGAAAATTTTACCTCATTCTACTACTTGAAATTTGACCTCTTTCTCTAGGCTCTTTTGGAGTCTTGCCTTTCTTTCTTTCTTTTTTTTTTTTAAAAAGATATTTATGCATCCAAGAGCTGGGGTACAGGCCAGAGTTGTGGAAGGGTGAGAGGATTCACCAGAGACAGAGTGGGGAACAGAACAGGCAGACTGACTGAAATACACTGCTGAGGGGAGCAGCAGGTGAGACGGGAGCAGTCTGCTGCACCATGTGGGTAGCTCCCTGGCTAGGGATCAAACTTGTGCCGCTTTGGCTGTGGATAGCTTCATAGGTTGCAGCTTAACCCCTTGCACCACCAGGGAGGCCCTGGAGTCTCTCCTTTCTATGCTACTGTCTGAAAATTGCTTCAA